GAAATGCTTCTCCTCCTCTTCCTTGATTTTTTGCAGCTCAGGTACTCCTTGATTTTTTTCCCTCCTCACTATCTTTTCACATCAAAATCCATTTTACCATTTACAGGAAATAAAAAAGCAAATGGGAAATGAAATGGAGGGGCAGTGAAGAAATTCAGCCCTGTAAAGGTTTAATCTCAAACTGAACATGTACTGGTTAATAAAGAGCACAAGGAAGGCTGAGACGTATCAAGAGGAAGCTGACACGAAGTAAAAGAAAGTTTAGTAGTCCATGAAATCTGTGGATTTAAACAGATTTCTACAGTGATCAGAGAAATGGGAAAGGACAACCTTATTACACGCATCTAGTCCCAAAGGCCAAAGCAGATGTAACCATCAGGTTGTAATTTCTGACCATAAAACTTTGCTTGAATGAAATCCTGCATGTGACCTTCATACATATTGCTGCCCTACAAACCTCTGTTGCTCTACAGCTGAATCCCATTTAGTTATGACTCACTGCCTTATTTACTTCACTGATCACAGTAAGCTTTCAAAAGCCATTACGAAGGCTTGAGTTGGTGTCTGTAAGCATACTCTGGTGACTACCCTGAATGACAAAAAGGTTGGGTTAGAAAAAAAAAGAAAAATAAGCCTCACATATATGTGATTGCAATAGGAAAAAGTGCCCAAAGTTAATTTCAAACAGCATCAGTCAAACCTATTTGTCACATGTTGTAGGTAACCTGTAAAAGAAAACATTGGATTATTATAGAATTATTATTCGAGATAAGTAAAATGTGATATTGTCAAAACAAGACCAAAAAAAAGAGTTACGAGAAAGGAGCAAGATTAAAAAAACCCCACCAGCACTAAATGAAAATAAAATGTTTGCCATGAGGTTAAGACATTGCCAATGGATCTCCAAGGACGACACACATCTTTGGCCGAGCTCTGACTACTTTCCAGATGCTGTGGATGCCTCCAGCACTGCAAACTCCTGCAGAGCTTGCTCCATAACCTCAGTGTGCAAGTGGAAATGGCAGCACGAGGGCTGAGGAAACTGTGCTGCTCAAGGACGGGTATCAGCATGAGTTGAAGTATTACCTCTCGTCATCCAAGCTACCAAAGCCACCCCTTCCCTCCACTTGCCACAAAAATACAAAAGCCATCACACTTTTCATATCAGCCATTCAGCTACTGCATGGCCGTACTATTAATGATAAATTAAGGACTGGGGGAAACAGCAGGCTCTGAACCATAAAATTAAAGCTTTAATTATTAGTGTATTGAACTAAGCACCAGCATAATAAAACTAAGAGAAAGATAAGAGCACAGAGTGATTTTCTGACAAACAAGAAAATAAATGTTGTATTTATTTCAATGAAATTTCCCTGTGAGATAAAAAAAAAGTGCATGGAGAAGAAATAGAGAAGCATGTCTTTTATAAAAAAAAAATAATTACAGTTTAAATGTATGTATAACTCAAACCCTTTTGAATGCCTGTCCCAGCCCAATTTAAATACTGCTGTAAATTGGAGTCTCATGGGAATGGAAGTAAAGATTATACTAATATATATTATTAGCACCAGTATGGATGTAGATCATAATTCCTTGTTTCATAGTGCTAAAACACTGCCTAGCTGCCAGGCAATACCTGACTATCCTACTTCTTTCAATGTCTATATACAAAGCAAAGTTTCTGCTTTTCCCTTATGATAACTGACATGGGCACAGCATAAAAAGGCCAATCACAATATTTTTCCTCAATCACACAGATATTTTGAGACACTGCACAGAAGAGTACTATAGATATTGTGAAGCATTTATATTGAAGAAAGAAAGAGAGAGAGAGGAAGGAAACTGCCATGTTGGACACTTCCACAGGCATCTCTGTGACAAATCTCAGCGACTGAGCTGCATCTTCCACAAGGGCAGGGGATCAACCACACTTGCTTTTGGCCCTTTCTGGGGCCAGCAGAAGGGAAAACTAATTTTCTTAACTTCAAGAATTTTCCCTCCTGTTTCTGTGCACTAGAACATGCCCAGAAAGGGTCCCCAAGGGCACTTCCAGTGATATTATGGGGCATGCCATTTACAGGTCTTCTAGGATAAAACCACTCAGCTTTGCTGTAGTATCATCCCCCCAGTCAGAGCTTAAAGAGATGCCCTAAGGTACAAGTCCAAGACATTTAAGGGCACCATAACTCAACAATAGATTCAGCGGGAAGAACACAGTACTGCACAGCTGGCAAGCCTCTCAAATTATTTAATCTTTACGTCCCAAAATCACTGTGAAGTGTCGGAGTATTTCTGTTTACATTGTTTGGGAGTTAGTTGCCAATTTCACTAATAAAGTGAAATAAGAGAAATTATGCAGATGGCCCATTGCTGCATCATTATGAAAAATAACTCTGTACCTAATGTCTTGTTTCATGAGGACTTCACTCATGACTTCTTGGTTTATTGAAATTCACAGTCCTAGGCAAATTCTTTATCTTTCTCTATTGATTGAAAAGGTCAGTTTAAAGACAAATTCAAACCAATTTTAAGCTATTATTACGGATCTAATGCTTTAAATAAGCATTTTACCTGCCATTAAAAGCTGAGGGTTTTAAAGGCTCTTCTGTAGTTTATACAATAAGAAAAAGTCTAGACCATAAAAAATTCCAGATATTGTGGCCTAAAAAAGCCGTTTCTGAAAAAAAAATTAAAACAAGAAAACACTAAATTAAATGAATAGTATATTTTTTGAACATTTAGGCTCTGCTTGGTAGGACAAGCCATGGACCTCAGACTAGTGGTGTTATGATTCCAAGGAAAGGGTCATGCTTGCATGAAAAAGGCAAGTTAGAGAATACTGAATGTCACACATGGAAAAATATGAGATTTTGTCTTGTTCTACTATTTCTTTTACAAATAAAGGACCAGAATGGCCTTAATGTTTAAGTGAACCTTTTTTTACTGGTGTTCAATACATACACTTTTGCTAAGTGTTTGTCCAAGTTACAAACCATGCCAGTATGCCACTTTTGGCAATAGTGGCAGAAGTTAGAGTGGTTCCCTTCCCTGCTACTAGAATTTATAAGAAATGCAATTAAGAGCAGGGGATGAGTGATCTAGAGATACAGAGAAAAGGAGAAAGGCAAGAAACTGGTGCCAAGTAGTCGAATTATTACATTGGAGCCTCTGCCTGTGTTCAGTTAAAACACATTAACTGTGGTAAAATATTTTAACAAACAAAATGTCACCACTACATTCATGCAAAAGATTAAAACCTTTGTTCTTCACTTGAATTATTCCAAACAAAAGACAGGGTCCTTGAAAGATCGGGAATCTGATATTTTCTAGGTATGTAGCTGTATTTGACCATGTATTTACAAGAAACAGTTTTTACTGGAAAATACTGAACTCATCAATATCGTAACAGACCTTTCTTCCCCCCAACAGATGGTAATGAAATTTATGTCAAATCTGCTCCATCCACATTTCAAATGTTGACTATACTTTCAAAAATGACAAATGCAACTTCTGCATAAAATAATAACTAAATATTGAAATATTGGGTCTTCAGCTCCTTTGGAATGTCCTCCTTTACTGGGCACTCCTAGCTTCTCCAAGTTAAAACGTAACTTCGTAAAATAGGTTGCAATTACTACACCACAATGATACAGGAAATTAATCGCTAAGTTTCAAAGTCAATTAATGCTAAGCACAGAGCCTCAGCTAGCATTATCCATCCTGGATTAAAAAAAAAAAAAAGAAAAAGCTTAAATACCAACAGTGCAGAAAGCATCTTAAAAAGGTTGAGCTCACTTAGTCATTTTCCCCTCTGAATTCCAAAAGTATTGGCTAGTTCCAGTTTCTATACTAGCCTAAGATTGAAAGAGATTGAATTGATTCTAATTGGAATACTTTCAAAATCATGTCTTTTTCTGCTTCACCCCTATCAAGCACAGACTGCAATATTTCTCATTACTCAGATCTATCAACTTGTAAAATTTATCAGAAAATAAATTTTCTAAATTAATAAATTCTCAAAAACTAAGAATGTCATTGACAAAAAACAACAAAATAAGCATTGAAGGCCTTTTCATTAGCATTGCTTTGTCAATAATCCATTGTAGGCAAACTTTTGACTTCACAAATATCAGAGCAACTAATTGCATATTCCCTTAAATCTCAAGTGTCAATGCAGAGCCCAATAATAATATAGGAAATCATCAAAATTTAGTTTTGTTGTTAAGAAAAATTTACTAATATACCTGCAGTAAATAACTTTGGCATCTCAGGCAGAAGTTAGTGTGCCAGAAGAACAAATAAATAACAAATGCTTAAACCCCAAATTAGAATCCATGTTTGCTAAAGACTTCTCCCTGTCTTTCCAGGGAACAGCTCAGATTTACTAATTCAGCTCAGAGGATTTCTAAATATTATTTTCCATTATCATCCTTCTGCTATCGAAAGAGCCCAAAGCAACGTCGTCATCCCTTGTCCAGTAATTGTGGAATGACACAAAGGACAGGCTAAGAACAAAATCACGTTGGACACGGGCAACTTTGAGTCATCAGGTTCTCTCTAATCCCTCCTTTAAAATATGCCACTTTTCCAGGAGTGTGGGCTGAAAAGGTTATCCACACAACAACCTATGTTTCCCAACAAATTGCCATTAGTTGCACAAAATTAAACCAAAAAGTAGTAGGAAGTAGTCATCATTTTGACAAGTAGCTTCAAAACAACCTGGAAAAGAGGAAAGATGTAGGCAAAGTGTTGTCAGACTTATCACATTTCAATTTCTGCCCACAAATAGAAAATGGATAAAAGCTGACTTTGTAGCCATAAGTCACTAGAACCAACAAAAACCAAAGCAGTTAAATCCAAAATTAAATTATTTTTGCGATATTTCATATTAAAAGAAGCCAACAAAAATGACAAATTCCCATAAAGCTAGGAAACTACCAGGGTAATATTTTTCATGTCAGTGCAGAAACAACAGCAGGAAATCTCTTTAGTTGTCCTACCTTCTTGAACCGCCTGGAAAGGATTGTTGCCATCCACAAATGTCACTGAACATGTGATTTTCTCTGTTTGTAAGATTTCATCGTTCTGGTTGAGATCAGCAACTGCCATTCGAAAAACTTCCTCATCTTTTTTGGCAGATTCATCAAAAATTGCCCCTGTGGAGGAAAAAAAGAAAAAGAACGAAAAATCAAATTGCACCTTTCACCTGCAGTATCCCAAAGCATTAATCATAAACACTTAGGACATTTCTTGCTAGAACATCATCCCTTCCTCACTCCTTAAGAGCAGTTCTTTCAATACAGAGCCTCAAAGTTACTTCACAATATACAGAATTCTTACATTTTTACTCAATCTAAGGCAAAAATGGAAGGGAAGCATTGATTCCAGCTAGAAATATTGGGAGAAACCAGGTAGGTACAAAGCAAATGATCTGCATAAGAACAAGGCCGTGAAATGAGAATTGAGTTTCTTCCAAAGGTGGTATTTAATATACTGAATACTACAGTGGGCTAGGATCTACATCATGTCTACTGACAATTAAAAAATATAAAGCTCAAATAATGTGAGAATAAGCCTAAAAAGGTAGCAGCACTGGGAAAACGAGGTAGAATTGACACCCACGATCAATAGACAGGTCAGCAGCCAATATAAATTATTTCAGGTGTAATACCTCTAGGATTTGCAAAACAACAACTCCAGCTAATTGTCTGACTCTTGAAGTCAATAAGTTAAATTTAAATGGTTACTTAAAATAAGTTCTGCCTTTATAAATCTCACAGAAAGTGAATGTTCTGCCTCTTTATTCAAAATATTTAAGCAGAACATTGTAAACAGGGAACCAATAAACTCAAGAGGAGCTGGCAGAGTGAGAGTGCCCAACTCTCACTTAGCCAGTTCTTCAGGTGTATTGAAAAGGAATTCCAAGGCTAATCCAAGGCTTTTAAGCTTTTTTTTCTTTAAACTAAAGCATCACTTTTAACATCACTGATTTCCTATCGTTTTACACTTGCTTTTTCTATGAACTATTTATCCAGAGATGGCTTGAACTATGGTGTTATAGTCCTATAACAAGTGCAAGATTTTTTGAAACCTTAAAATCAAGGCTATTAGATTTTCAAGCACTTTTAAAACTTTCAGTTCCAGGCAGGAGATTAGAGACACAGAAGGACTGCTTCAAAACCAGACTTTTGGAAACTGTGTTTATTTATCCATTCTTGAGTGTCTGCTGTCAGTACAGAACCCAGCTAAGGCAGTGAATGTGTCAAGGCAAACAAAGACAGCAGAAAATACTATCACAGATGACTGCAGGTAAACACCCACAATCAGTGCTGGAAAGAACTGAAAATGATTCATTTAGAGAAAATGGTACTTTAAGATAAATACATTTCATATACAGTTTTTGCTGTGTGTTTCCCACTGACCTCTGACACTCATCTCCCTGCCAGCACCACTCATCCTTCATGAGCATCATCTCTTCCTACAATCTGACCGCGTTGACTCCAGCATTTTCACTCCTGAAGCTCCTACCATCTGGAACAGCTGTTCTTTACCTCTCCACCTCATTCACCTGTCATCTCTGTGCAAATCTCAGTTGAAAACATTCATTTTTCCCCTTGCCCCCGCTCCATTTTCCTTTGTTTTATTTAGCTCCACAAAGCAAAGCTGCACATGGCTGAGAACATGCTTGGTATGCAAGATATTACAAACCCTGTCTTCTCCACAAAGCAGCTATTTGAGGATACATGTAGCATTTAAGGGGACAAGAAACTGTCCAAGACATATCTTAAAACATGCTTCTTACCCCATGGAACTCAAACAAAACCCACACAGGCTTCACTTGGGGGTTACACCTATATTGATAATAATGACATAGCCCTGCAAACATTTGACAGAACGATTCTACACAGCTACTTAGTAACAAGGGTAAATAAGGGGGGGAAAAAGAATTGGAAAATAATTATAGTAATTAGTAAAATTCTATTCCTGTAGAGTAATTCTGCCACAAATGCTATACTGTAAAGAAGTGAACATACACAGATTTCATGCACACACACAGGGCAGCTGTCGACTGTGTTGCAGAACAGCATGGCAAAACAAAGATCTTCCAGCCAACACTGCAGAGTACAGCTTCTTATTCAACAGATGGGAAATACCATCTTAAGCCTGGCTTGGTCCCCCAAAATAATCCAGGTCACTTTTTGATTAGAGGATACAGCAAAGTCCCAGCTAACCAGGTTTCTTTTATATGTGTCATCATAAAAATCCCTTTCAGCATCTTTGCCCTTCCACTGGGCAACAGAACTGCTGCCAAGATAATCCTGGCCTGGTGAATCCATCCAGATTCCCAACAGATGAGCTTTCTTCACAGGCTTGTCTTTCTTTCACACACAGATATTCCTGATAAACTCCTATGCTTTTTCTCCAATTTCTCAGCCTGAAACAAGCCCTACCTCCGACAGCATGTGAATATATAAAGGAATGGGTTAGATCAAACTCCATGCTGTTTTCACAAGTGCTGCTGTTCCTCACTCGAGTACAATTCCTCCACTTTTGCTTTGACCACTGCTTATGTTTTTATGGCTCCATATTTCAGACAAATTTCAAAACTGCTCCAATAACCAATACTGTATTGGACATTTTAATGAAACGTCCAATGTCATCACACACGTTCTAGTGTAGGAATATCTCCATAAATAAAACACATAGATACATAAAACACATAGTATCTCCCTAAGTAAAACACATGGATCTATAGGTGAATTGCAAAAAAGTTCTAAATGTAGTTCATGTCTGAGCATCCAAGCAGGAATTAGATTGTTTCCTTTAGAAATTCAGGCCGTATTCATTGGAGTATCTAACTACTCTACACAAAAAGCCTTTTAAGATATAATAAAGACTACTGTTCCTTGCAGGAGATGGCAGTGCACAGCAGCACATACATTACCCTTTCAAACAGTGATAAGAGAAATTTTATTATGCAATTGATTTTCAAAATTTAATTTCAGTTGTTATGTAAAATTGAAAACCTAAAAACAAAAGAAAGCCACGCCACAAAATCCATGAGTAATTTTTAAATTGTTGCTATTCCCATGTATAGATATAATTTTATTTCCTTGTTTCAGCTGTTTTTCATATGTCTATATATCTCTCTATATGACAGTGGGATGGAAGATATATTTGCTTACTCCCTAAAAGAAAAGCCACGTCAATGAAAAGACGGAAGTGTTTGGACAGTGCTAACATTGCTGGAATATTTTCTATTTTTTGTCATTTCAGGAATTATCCTCTAGGTTACAGGATGGATCTTTCTAATGTGAAAGAGGTATATAAAGATTTTTTTTTTACCTGTAGCTCAATATGCAGCCTTTAATTAAGGTTAACTTAAACCTTATATATGAGGTATGATATTTTGTTGCCAAGGCCTGAAGTCTGAAGATTTTATGTGTATTCTTCAAAATCTTGTCATTCAGCCAAGTTAAACAACACAAATGAATAAATAAAGGGTATCAGATTTTCAAACTGCTTCCCTAGTGAGACCTATATGCTCTCTCATTTCTTCATGTAGAGCTGGAAATGAGAGAACTGGGATGACCACAAACTTACTTGGAGTACATGTCTAGAATGAATCCTTGTGGCCATAAGAAAAATTGTTACAGAAAGTCATAACAGCTGAGGAGAAGAAGAAAATTATTTCTATAGATACTGTAAGGCACTTACTTTCTAGAAAAATGATGCAATAACACTATTTACAAAGGGAGAAAATCTTCAAAATTATACAAAAGTAATGCTGTTCATTTCTCTTGCAGTCCCACTGCTCGTCTCAGCTGGAAGCGGCCTCACACCAAACCTGTCATTTCTAACTACGCTCAAGGAGCATTCCCATGATTGCATCAGGAGCCGACAAGCTGATACAGCAACTACTCTGCACAGTTTCCCCCTCGTGTTTTATTAGCATGTCATTACTTCTAGCTTTATTTCAGAATTGGGATGAGGACAGCACAAACATAATTCTCTCCTGGCTTTTTAAAAACCCTCAGCACATCAATAATGTCATGTGGTTTAGCAGAGAATTCTTTGCATTTAACTATCTCATTTGCACTCTGCCATGGCACCAAAAATCTGTCATTTTAAGTTAACAGAGACCAAATCAGAGAAATGCTCAATAAGTTCAGACACCAATAACATAATTAGATCAACTTCTCAAAGATCCCTTGTCCTACTGACCACACCAAAAAAATATAAGTCAAATTAGATATTATCAGCTATTTCTAGAGTGATTTGAGCAGTCTTGTGGAACCAGTCCAGAAAACAAAAATGTGAGGGAAATGTATCATGATTGCAAGGATGAAGACAGAAGAGATTTAAACCACTGTTCATCTTTCTATCAACAAAGAAAGGACAAAGCCCACTGCTGCAAGTGTTAAGTGCTATAATTTTATTACATATGAAATTATGACATTTCTGGACCTCAGTGCCCCATATTAGTCCCAGAAAATTAAGTACCCTATTTCAAAGAGCGCATGGATTAAATGCCATTGTGAATTGAGGTCACAGTTCAATTTCAGCACGTGTTTGATTTTCACCTTCTAACATTGCACACACCCCTCTCACCAATAAAAGCCATAAACGCTTTGCTCAGTAATTGACTAGCTTGTTCCAGGAATGTTTGGAGAGAAAAGAAAATGGGAAAGCCTACATAGAAACTTTTTGAGTGACTACCTCATGTTCTCAGCAGCTCCCGATTCTATGACTATTCTTCGCGCCAACTTTTTCCAGTGTCTGAATCCAATTCCACTGTCTTTTCTCAACTGCTGCTATTGAATTATTATTTTGAATGAGAAACTCAACAGTACTGCTGGGAGAAGGATGGCTGTGCTGTTAATACTCAGAACTGGAAGCTGAGAGTTTTGACTTTTCACAGCAGATCACATCCGAAATGTCCTTCAGATCTATGAGCTCATTGCTGCAGGTCCAGCTCCTCAGTATCAAAAAAGGTTAGGAAAAATTAATTTCTAAAGGCCTAAGACCGGTATCTGAGATCCTCAGACACTTTTTAGAACCAAATCTCATATTTCTAGTCCATGTGAATCGTCTGGTTGGGAAAATTTGTATCAAATCCATTCATTTTTAACTGTAGTGGCAAATGCCTGGGTAT